TTTGGGGGGGGGGGGGGATTTTTTTTTTGGGGGGGGGGGGGCTGATTTAATCTGTAATGTCCACATGCTAACACTTCAGAACGCTTATGAAGAGATATTGGGAATTAAAGAGGCGTGAAGCAGATCTTTGAGGAGACACCGAACAGGAACTTCACATTGACATGGAGTTTTCAGTGTTTCTGCTAATGTCCGTCTCCTTCACTGCGGCGTCGGTGTCGGCACAGGACATGTGAGTAACTGTTATAAAAATACACATCCATAGATATTCGGGTAAAATCCCAAATGTGAGTGTTTCCTCAGGAATACTACAGGCAGTTTGGACAATCATTTGTTATCTTTGTTATTCTATATTTTTCTGAAGTATTTAGTATGTTAAGGATGTGATATAGTTATTAGTATGAACATTATGTGATTCCAAGGTTATAATCCACCAATGGGATGAGCAACATGATACTGTGCAGCAAACCCCACTGAGGTTCTGATGACCTCTGCAGGTTCCTGGTCACAGCGCCCAGTGTTTTCCACTTGGGGGTGAGGGAACGCGTGTCTGTGCAGCTGCTCTCAGACCTCCAGCAGCCCGTGTCGCTGTATCTGGAGCATGAGACGAGCGGGATGCTGATGTCGAACAAGGCCAGCTGTCAGATGGCTCAGCGGGGGGAGACTGGCTTTGTGGAGCTGGAGGTACATTATGTGAGATGGATGAGTACGTTGGTAACATATCTGTGTGGTTATTCTCTATAGCACCAAGAAATAAAATAAGACTCTCCCTCCCTCTGTCTCCTAAGCGCTCGTCCTGGGGAGGGTCACTAGGTGAGGTAGCAGTGATTCCATACAACATAGAGCACAAGGCAGGAACACCCAGGGCAAGATGTCAGTGCGTATCAGGGCACACACACAGTCTATGGGCGATTCAGTGATTCCACATCACCTAACTGCAGTGGACAGTGGGAGGAAACCCAGGCATCACTGGGAACACTGGCAAGCTCCACACTCCCAGCACAGAGCCGGGGCAGCATTCCAGCCCCCAGACCTGGAGGTGTGTGGAAACAGTGCTGCCCTCTGACCATCTCCATAAAGCAGGTCAATGCTGTCAGGTCTAAGACCAGGACAGATATAGAGGAAACGCTGCTCCCTGCATTTTACTGTGGGAATCCCTTTGGTGAGAAGCGAGAACTTCAGAGTTAAATAACATCATGAGGAAGCACAGGGTCTGGCTGAATGTTGCACAAAAGTGCAGAAAAATGTAAAAAAATAAAATAAAATTGGCAGACAAGAAAACAGGCGAAAAACAAAAAGCCATGTAGAGAATTTGCATAATAGCACCCAAAACACAGCACACCAGTTTATAATCTTTTCTGGAACAATGGCGGCGCAAATCAATACGAAACTCCAGGTCACTTCCCAGCTAACAGGGAACGTTCCCAGAACTTTAGCCAACGTTATGTGAAGGTTCTCTCAGAGTTGGCAGAGAAAGTTCTTACTGTAACATTAATTTCCATGTTTTACATTATAAAGGTTCTGTAAATGTCCTTATTACCTTATTACCTGAACATCCTTTTAATATAATTAACGTTGAAAAATATTTTTTAACATAAAACATAATTTTGTTAAACACACCATACATATATACTGCTAACACACCATCCAGCCTTGAACCCGTGACTTTAGAGGTGTAAAGCGACACTGTAACCATCTGCTCTACCAGGTCCGTCATTTGGGTTTATGCTGCTATTCTTAGTTGTAGAAGTAGGATAATGTTGATAATGTAGATAATGTGATATAACGTTCTGGGAACATCATGGAAACCAGATACTTTGAACGTTTCCATACCTTAATCATAATGTTCAGAAAACATTCCTAGAATACAAACTTCATAGCAGGGTTGACTCTCCCTGCTGTAATGAGTCTGTCCCCCTTCCTGTGTTCATTACTGAATAGGAATCTCCTGACTTATTGGTAGGAGTCATTTTATATAATGTGGTATAATGATGTAACTGTGCAGAGTTAAACCAGCATAACATTCAGAGCCTATAGGAGATAATTAGTAATTATATAAGACAATGTATGATTAAGCTGTTAAATGCTGTCAGGTGGACAAAGGGAAGCTGTCCCTCCTCCCTAAAGCGTCCCCCCGCTACCTAATGCTGGTGTGTGAAATCCGGCCTGGGCAGAGGGACATGGTCAGGGTGCTGGTGTCTGAGCACAGAGGCTACATCTTCATCCAGACGGACCAGCCTGTCTACAGCCCCACACAGTCAGGTAGGGCCGCATTGCGGGGGGGTAAGAGACCCGGCAGAGAAGGCCATGGCTTTGGGGGGGTGGGGGTGGGGGGTTAAGCTGCAGTGCCCATGGCAACCAAACCCACATAAAAGTTGAATCCCGTACCCCAGAAACTGAACTGATTACAGTCACTCACGCGATTCTGAGAGCAACCCAGCAAGGTCTGGCAAAGGTATAATCAGGAATAATACACAGTCTTCTCTGGGAAATCCACTGCATTCAGATTAATTACAGTTAACACTCAGATATCTTTAAGCTACGCCAATGATTCACTAATTAATAAGATTTACTAATGAACCTTCCAACAATAAATCTGAAATTAACTTTGAACAGGAGAAATATGGCCAAAGTGAAGAAATGATACGACTTGAATGTGCAGCACAGAGTAACTGATTCTGCTGTGATAGATCTATATAAATGCTACATAGATTAGTATAGTTTATTATATAGCATGAGCAGCCTTATAGAATTGATAGTTATAGAGGGATGATTTTACATTGATGTCCTTGGATTACGGTTTTGTGCTGTCATGTAGCAGCTGTGCTCAGTAAATCCATGTAAATGCATGTTATGTGTCTGGTTGTGACAGTAAATTACAGGATATTTACCCTGGATCACGCTATGAGGCCCCATGAAGAGTTTATATCCTTCGCTGTCTTTGTGAGTATACTGTACAGTATGGTATCAAGGCACTGATGTGATAAAATTTTAAATTTCTTTACTGTTTATTTATCACACATGATTTAGTATTGAAGGTTAGTTATTCAGTGCTAAATGCTAAACTACTGTATGAACCAAATATCAGTGCAGACCTAATATGTAACAAGTATAAGAAGTCTGTATACTGTACTTGTTTTTACACTGCTTTTCCTGTTATTAATAATAAAGATACCCCCCCCCCTTTCCCCCACCACAGAATGCCGGAGGAAACAAGGTAACATCTGGGATCGTCCGACCCAAAGATGGGACCATCACCAGAAAACTGAACATCCCCGACGTCTCAGAGTATGAGTCCATTAGGACACTGTGTTACAGTTTGTAACATGGTTTCTGTCCCACAGATCACATTATAACTCTGCAAAAAAAACAAACTAAACTGAAAGTGTTTCAGCTAATGACTTAAGGTGGAGACTTGTGAGTCTATCAGAGCTGAAGGTACTGATGTTAATGTCCCTCAGACCAGGCATCTGGAAGATCGTGGCTCATTATCTGGGCGACGAGAAGAACGCTGCAAACCGGGAGTTTCGAGTGCAGAAGTTTGGTGAGTCACGTTTAATGTTTAACGTGAAAACCTTGAGATGGCTTCATGCTTGGCTTTCACTCTCACTGTCTGTTTTGGTGTAATATGCGATACTTACAGTAATGTGCTTTACTTTGATTGATGTGTAGTGAGATCTGTGTGCCATTTCATGTTTTGCTGCATGTCAAGTCATGCCCAGTTTCGACGTGTCTGTCGTGCCTGAGGAGAGCTACTTCCTGGAGACCCTGAAGGAGTTTAACTTCACCATTTATGCCTCGTAAGGACACATTAAAATGCAGCTTCTGTGCAATGTACAGTCCAACATGCAGGGTTTTACGTCAACTACAGCATAGGACCTATTAGACCCTATACAGGGGGCTTCTGGCACTGTTATTGTCTCAGCCCCCCCAGAAATTATTTTTCTAAATCCATTCAGCAAGCTCTGCAGGTTGCATTGTTGGTGACCCGCCCACCCCCCATTTGGGCAGATTTTAATGTGAGACATCGTCCATCCGGCTCTGCTAATTTTAGCATTTTTTTTTTTTCCGATCGAAAGTGGCACATTGATTAACAGTGAATACTAAGTACTGAATAAGATAGAATTTACATATTGTTAAAGGTGTGCAAGTCTCACCAGGAGAAGCGCTCTGAGGATGGATGGATGGAAGGATGGACGGACGGACGGATGGACAGATGGATGGATGGATGGATTGCCGAGGGCATGAACACCACAATGCTTTCTAAGCCTGCATGTCTTTATTGTCAGGTACTCATACGGTAAGAAGGTAAAGGGGGCGTTTCACTGCCGATTCGGCGTGAGAGACGAGGCGGCAAAGGAGACAGAGAAACCGAGCACCGCCTTCATCAGGGGTCTGCAGAAGACCGGCTCGGTGAGCGGGGGGAGGGCTGGCCGGATGGGGGGGGGCTGAGCTGGCCGGATGGGGGGGGTCCTGAGCTGGCTTCCCATGCCATCACCCTATTACCTTTGACTCTCTTCACAGTTAGAAGACGGCAAGGCGGAGATCCTCATCCTCACATCCCAGCTGAAGCATCTTCTGGCAGAGCGCGGCGCCAACCTGACACAGCTCGCTTTGGATAGAGTACAGCTGCACATCGCAGTGTCGGTCACGGACTCGGCCAGTAAGGCAGCCGTCCGGGGAGAGATCTGGGGGGGGGGGCAGTCAGGCTGAAGCAGGATCCTCACTGACATGGTCTCCGTATCAGTGATCTACCTTATCTACTCAGCTGTAATCCAGCAAAGCATCCTGGGTAGCATAGAGGCTGTCACAGACAGTGCAGGGCAGGGGGCATCCTGGGGGGGTGCCAGTCGATCTCAGGGCACACAGTCACACACTAAGGGCCATTTAGAAACAGCAATCGAACCAACAGTATATCCACACACTGAGCTGTCGCTGTTTCGCCACACAATGAGCCAATTTGAAAATTGTAATTCATTTAAATATTGGCTAATGCCAGTGGTCTTATTGATACCCCCAATCTGTCTGCGTCCCTTGCTGGTCATCAGGTGGGGAACTGCAGGAAGCTGAGCTCTTTCTCCCTATGGTTTCCCGGAGGTTCTCAGTGGATCTGTCCCGCACGCGCTCACACTTCATTCCTGGCGTGCCTCTTCGTGTCTCTGTAAGGAACGACCGACATTTTCTAAAACTGAAATAAAAAGCAGAGAGCTGCCATCACTTTGCTCCGTCTTCCGCCTTCATCTCGGCTCCAGGTGCTGGTTCGTCTCCCAAATGGCTCGCCAGCAGCTAATATTCCAGTGCGCAGTGATGTGCCCAGGTCATCTGATCTAACCCGCAGTGGTTTTACTGACCAAGAGGGGGCACTGCATTCCACTTTCAACAACATTCCAGTTGGCGACCAACCTGTGACTATTACGGTCAGTTAAAGCAAGACCCAATATTTACTTGCAATGTACATTTAAATTCTTTGAGACTAGACAGCATTGCGTGGTTTAATTGTACACTTCAGAAAAATAGCCATTTTGCACAGTATTAAGGGATTTTGTACAAAGGATTAACCTGAAAGGCAAAGCAGTAATTATAATAAGGGACCATTGGGGATGTAATAATTAGCACAGAAAAGATTACAGTAGTAAAAAAAATATCCATCCTTCCATCTTCCAACAACTTATACAGGTCAGTGTCATGGGAGAAGGAAGATATACTAACAGGAGGTTATGGCTGTTTAAAACATACTGACCTACTTTTTATTGTAGGAAGAAATAAAAATAATGTGTTATATTGAATAAATAATATTGAGATATATTAAAGCTCAGAGCTGTTTGTTAAATGACTACATTGTAGATCGAATAAAATGCTTAAAATGCTATTTTAATTTTAATATCCTTTCTTCTTTGTAATGCTTCATTTTCCTGTCTCCTCCAAAGGTGACAGTCGATGATGGTGTTTATGAGAAGATCGTTTATCCTTCCATGTCACAAAGCAAAAGTTACCTGTACATGGATGTCAGTCCAGGCGTTGTTAGTCTGAGGGAAAGCGTCTCGATTGATTTCACTGTGATTGGTGGGAAACCACGTGATGGAAGGATTTACTACCTGGTGAGTCTGAGGTGGTACAAAGTTAGTAATTAGTCAAATGGGGAGAGTAGAGGTGAGAAATATTATATNGAAGCTGGAACAGAACTGAGTTTTGGCTTTTTTATTCTTATAACATCTGATTTTGCATTTCTCACAGGTTCTTAGTAAAGGAGTTCTTAGAGAAAGCAAATCTATACAGACAGAATCGGTAGCAAGATCTTCCATCTTGGTCGGCAGTGATCTCATCCCATCTTTCCGCGTGATTGGTTATTACTACAACCAGGCTGGTGACATCATAGCTGACTCACTTTGGGTGGATGTTAAGGACGTCTGTGAAGGGAAGGTAAGAGAACCAACATGAACATCAGTAGGAAGTCAAACATACACACGCTTTATGCTTTACTGGAATGGTAAAAAGGTATTGCAATCAGATATCAGACAAGGGTGATGATAGTGTAATGGCCTGGACATAAAGCCTGAATATTTTTCGGATTTGACATCCTATCCCTTGTCTAAGACCAATCAGCATGGTACTTGACCAGAATTGTTACAGTTAAATTGTTCAAATGCTGTTCTGGGTCAAAGCATCATCTTAGCAATCAAATATAATCAGGGGCAGATTAACTTACCTGGGGGCCCCAGGCTGACCTCAGCATGGACACTCAGGTGTTGCTGATTTAACTAACCCAGGTGTCTCCAACTCATATAACCTGGGGGCTGCTGGGTAGGGTGTTGGGGGTAAAGCTTGCTGAGTGTGGCTCCCTAAGCTAAGACGACCTTTACCTACACAGGTGTCTCTGACATGAGGAGATGCATGTCTCTGACTCTGGGAAAAAGATGGTAGTAATGACTGGAAAGCATTTTTTATTGTTTGCTAAAATGAATATGTTATTACTTCTAGATTTCCCTGAGCTCAAAGAGCCAGCACACACCGGGCAGTAAAGCCAACTTGGACATCGAGCTGGAAGGACAGAAGGCCAAAGTAGCCCTGCTGGCTGTAGATAAAGCCATTTATGCTTTGAACGCCCAGAACAAGCTCACACCCAAGCAGGTGACTTTAGTATTACTGTAAATTCCATTACACACAAATTCTCATTGTACGATTCATAGATTTTTTTATTTAATTGAAATGATGCCCTAATTAGCATTATACCTAGATTAAGTTGGCTTTGTGGTACTGAACCAGTGAGTAGGGCTGCGTGTCTTAGCGAAATTGTCTGTATGGTTGCCAGGTGTTTGCCTCCATGGAGTCCTACGACCTTGGCTGCTCCTACGGTGGGGGCTGGGACACAGCTGACGTCTTTAATGATGCCGGACTTTCCTTCATCTCCCACCCCAAAGCGGCCACCTCCAGGATGAGGAAAGGTCACAAAAACAATGACTTTATGCAGTGTACTCAGCACTGCAATGCAGTGGCAGTGACAAATTAACAGGGATCCAGTTGCAAATGGCCTTGCTGTTCCCATGAAAGGTTTCTGTCTGCTTCTGATCGGACCTCCTGGCAGAGAGCCTCACTGTGGCTCTTCTCTCCCGGCAGGGTTTGGCTGCGAGTCGGGCTTCAGACGACAGAAACGTTCCCTTGACCTGCAGCAGTTCATGATGTCCAAAGGTGAGTCGATGCTTCAATATTTACTTAATCTCGGCTCGCTCTGTTTGCATTTTACCTTTCTGATTGCTGTCTCTTAAAATGTTTACGGCCTTTTAAATAATTCTCGTTGCATGCAGTCGTGTTTCTCCTTGCCTGCATTTATACATCATCATTATAGTTTGACATTATTTTCTTTAACCCCCGTAGGTAACAGATACTCCTCCTTTACTCCTCTCTCACATTTGTGCTGTCCTGCTTTACCGTGTCGTTAATTAGTTCTTAGTTACGAAAGTGCGGAGCTTCAGCGCTGCTGCCAGGACGGCTTCACCCTGATCCCCATGAAGCGTACGTGTGAGGAGCGTGCCAGCAGGGTGTCCCAGACCGGGGGGGGGGCCGCCTGTGCCACGGCCTTCCTGGACTGCTGTCGGGAGGGTAATGCACAGAGGAAGCGGATGAGAGCCCAGAGGACACATGGCAGGAGTGAGTGTGGGCTGGTTTAATGCTAATGATGAGTACAACACATCCAGTACGACCGGTGTGGTTATCATCCATCTATCCATCCATCCATCCATCCATCCATCCATCTCTCTATCTTTTCATTTGCTTATTTATTTGTATCATTATGTCATTAAATGTTTTTGAACTTTTTTTTAATGAGGACTGAGACAAAAATACTGTGGTTGAAGCCACCCTAAACAGAACCCATCCATCCATTTTCCAAACCACTTATCC